TGGAAGGGCTTTGATGCAGTGAGGTGTGGAGGTTGAGTGGGGTGTCTCTTGGGCAGTGTGTGCCCATCAGTTCCTGTCATCTCAACACTGACCTTGGCTGCAGGCTCTTTAGCTGCTACAGCAGCTAGGCTGAGCTGCCTCTCTGCCTGCCTGTTCTCATGCTGGCTCTAGGGAATGAGGGAGCGTTCCTGGGGGCAGTAAAGGGAGGATGCCCCTGTGGAGGTCACACCTGGCACGGGTGTCCACCCTTTCCTGGGCTTCCCCTGGATCTGCCTGCATGGCACCCCCAATCCACAGAGGCGGGTGTGGGTGGAGGCCCCTCTGCTCCGCGCACCCTCTTTGTGGTTTTGAGGTGACAAGACAGCTCCGTTCTTCTCTCGAGGTTTCTCGCTTGAATTACACCCTGTCCCTCAATCTCAGATGTTCATCCTCTTGGCCTTGCAGCTGGAGTGGCCTCGCCTTCTCTCTCCTTTTCTGCCCTGAAAGCAGCCTTTGGCCTCCGGGGTTCTCCACTCCAGCCCTGCTCCATCCCATCACAAGTAGGTGTGGGGTGCAGCATGGGACTGGGAGCTAGCAGACTTGGGTTCTAGGGCCCCAGAACTCTCCCATTCTCACATCTCTGCACCTCACTTTCCCCATCTGTTGGCGAGCTGGGGCTGTCAAATAGAACATTCTGCAGCAATGGACATGTTCTGTGTCTGCGTGTCCAATATGGTAGCCGCTAGCCACGTGTGGCTATTGAGCACTTGACTAGTGCAACTGAGGAAATAAAATTTTAATTTTAATTAACTAAAATTTAAATAGCCACATGTGGTTAGCGGCTAGGTCTCTGGGTAGCACAAATGGTTTGTGCTGGGCTACTAACCTGAAGGTTGGCTGTTTGAACCCACCCAGCAGCACCACGGAAGAAAGGCCTGGCAATCTTTTTGTAAAGATTGTTGCTGTTGAGTCAATTCTGACTCATGACGACCCCATGTGTGTCAAACTGCTCCACAGGGTTTTCAAGACTAAGTCCTTTCAGAAGCAGATCACCAACCAGGCTTGTCTTCCGAGGTGCCTCTGGGTGGGTTCAGACTGCCAACCTTTTGGACAGTAGTCAAGCTCTTATATGTTTGTGTCACCGTGGACTCCACTGTAAGTTTTACAGCCAAGAAAACTGTGGAACAGTTCTGTTCTGTAACACATGGTGTCTCCATGAGGCAGAATTGACTCCATGGCAATGGGGTTTTTTTTTGTTAGTGGCTACCATGTTAGACAGCGTAGCTCTAAGGCCTCTTCTGGCATTGAAGGCTGATGACACTTGGCTGCATTGTGCAGAATTCCCCAAAGCTCTAAAGACCCTTCTTTGGGTGAAAGCTGGCCAGAGCCCCCAGCTCCAGGGAAGCCTTGTGTGGTAGTATGGGAGACTTGTGTGGGAGAAGGAAGGACCATCTGGGCTTGGAACAGGTCCTAGGGGTGGAGGAGAGACAGGGCTGGGACCCAAATGCAGAAAACAGGGCCTCAAATTCCCCATTAGCACCCTTGCCCCCAGCCTCGGAACTGAATACCCCAGATCAGATGACAGGGAGTCCTTCCTGCCATGCCAGGAAGCAGGGTGGTTGCCAGCTCTACCTGGCCAGGAAGCCAGCCAATGGCTCTTGTTCTCCCAGGGCTGTGGACCCTTCTCTACTCAGGATGGCCTTCTCCCTCCTAGAAGCTGCCAGGGTCCAGGAAGCAGCAAGTTCCTCCCAAGCTCCTGAGGACTCCTGGCCTGGGGCTCCATCTCGAGGAGATG